ATGGAAATTTTTCGCATTATTAAATGAATAAAATATTTCATCACGAATTACGTTACATGATGAGAGGACGTATGATTTTCGATTAAGACGGATCCTGTTTGCTCGCTAAAGAAGTCGAGGTGGGTGTTCATATCGGGTGTCGAGATTTTCATTGTCAACTGCCGCCACGCGTATATCAGTACCGAGAAATATTCGTGGGTGTGTGTCTTCGGTTGTAAACGTGTGTCAGAGTCGCATTGTGCGGCTCCGGGTATCTATAATTACCTTGCCGGGGTATTATTCCAACAAGACTGCGAAGTAAACAAACCCGCGGGAGAGGAGCGAAAGAGAGAAGGACGAAAGGAGGATGGAAAACGAGGAGAGAGATCGAGTGCACGAACTTTGAATTGGTGTAGCGCCGGTTGGAAGGCCGATAGAACGCCGTGCTGTGGCGGTCGAGAGAGGAGACGCGCCGCGCCGCGCCGATCATGATGGAAAGGGTGGGACGAGTGGAAGGGAAAGGAGAGACGAACTGGTAATAAACTTTGGGCGCGAGGAGTGTGGCGCACATGTGCGCCCAGGATATGCATTCGGCGGTAGCGAATGAATGCGAGAGGAACGTGGCTGAAATTACAGCTAAACGCTAGACAAGCAGTTCCCATTTGTACGCTTTTATACGGCTCCTTCCTTTCCGAGACGACGAAATGCGACCGATGGCGCGTCTTCTGTCTCCAAGAATCTGCATCGATATGTAATTGTGTTACGCCATTCATTTCTTAAACTTCAAGTATTTATTACTTTATTCGCTAACAGCTTCGTATTTTGATATTGCGGTCGCATTCGAAGTAATTCGTGGTAATGTAAAGATGACAGGATAATCTGAATTTAAAAGCGATTTAGCGTAATACTGTAATTAAATTCGACGAACTAACGTTGCGTAAGCGAGATATTCATTAGCCATTGCACATGTTTGTGTAAATTGACTTTTTGTGTTTAGAGAGAATTAATTTGTAATTGTAATTTTAAATACTGACGATGATGCAATATAAGGATTTTTTTGTTATTATATATTAAAGAACGAATTAAAATCAAAAACTTAATTTATTAAGTATTATTTATTGTGTTTAAAGTAAACGAACTATATCAGTAAAAATTTTGTACTGTCTAGTACTATGAAAAAAATATTAGAAATCCGAAATATTTATTTTTCATATTAAGAAATCAACTTTTTGAAACCCTTGCATTTTTGCCGTATATCCCATAGGGGTGGGATATATAGCTATTCACAGGGGGAGGGAAGGTACGTACGGCTCATGAAAAATGACACAATAACTTATAAAATGTGTTTATAAGTTTTGTTAAAGAATAAGAAGAATGGTAAATATGTATATGAAATAATAAATAATAATTACAATCTTCCTACATATATTACAAGTGGTATGACGTAAGATACATATTTTATATAATGCATTTATTGCATTTAGTGCACTGAATTCAATCTGCACACTTTGTATGCTTTGGGCATAAATCCCGCTCGCTAAAAATGCCGTATATCCCAAACAGGTGGGATATACAAGACAACAAACTAAACAAAGAATACGAAAACAAAGCACTTGTATTTTACTATGCACAACATGCTTTATTATTCCACTACACACGTATGTATCACGAAATAACCACTAAGTCTTTTACACGCCCTACAGTGATCATTTTATGTAAATTATAATTTATGACGTTACTTATTACAGTGACAATTCACGATAATTTTGTTAATATTAACAGTAACAAGAAACTAAAATTATAACACAACATTAATATAACATAAAGACATGTACAGAATAATTGCGGGAAAATTATCCCCACTCCTTCTATTTTTTTTTACTTCTGCGGCATATTTATCGGAGTTACTCTATAACGAGTATTTTCATTAATAAATCTTGCATTGACTCACATAATCCTGTCTTATTGTTATTACTTTGATATTCTAACGCTTGATATTGCTACAGTTCTCTCTCTCTCTCTCTCTCTCTGCCACAATAATTTCGCACAAAATCCGTCAAGCGTTTCGCTGCGGGAATCTCGATAAAACCAGCTCTCGCGAGAGCTTTCCATCGGCAGACTCACGGGCGTTGATAAAACGAGAATCGCGGGACTCGACTCGGTGGTATGCGGCGCTGCGTTGCGTTATTTATAGAGTCGCGTAGCTGACAATTTAATCGTCCGCGCGTTCGTGTGAATTGCATCGAAGCGTGTAGAAGCGTTCGCGTCTTAATAACTACGGAACGACGAACGAGTGCTGTGCTGTGCTGTGTGCGTCTCGTGCCTCTTCACTCAAAGGGAAAGGTCAATGGTCCTACGTCTCGCGACGATCGGGATCGCGTAGGTCCAGCACGAAGAATTAACTCTTTCATGGTCGTTATTGGAGCGATCGAGACGACTACGGACAAGCGCCTCTCCAGTTGCCAAAGTATTAATTAAATATATCCTATTCATTGAGCATCTATTTAAATTAAAATAATAATCATACGATATAAATGTTTAATAGAAGAAGTGAAACAATAAGATTATATCGGATGCCTCAGTTTTAATAAATTTTAGAAAAGTGTGCACAAAAATGTTCTGAAAACACTTTAATTAATTCAATTGTTCGTATTAGATTCGGAAGTGCGATATCCATTCGCGTTTCAACTTGCTTTCGAGTCTTTTCAATGGAATAAAAAAAATATTGAAAGAATGACTTGAAAGCAAGTCGAAATGTACGTACGAATATACGTATATTGTATTTCTGAATCTAATACAACAATTAAAGTGTTTTTTGAATAACATTTTTGTGCGTAAGTACCGCACTGACTCTCATACTCTCATCATATATTATATTTTGAAATAAATATTTAAATATTTTTTTATATGAAAATGTTTTTTAACGTTCAACGATACTCGTTTTTATTAATTATGGAGAATGGAAGTAGAATAAAATATCAATTAATTTCTCGGAATGTTCGTAGTATCAAACTGCGCAAAAGAGAATCTTATTTTCTGCATATTCATTGAAATTTTTCCGCAGTAATTTCAGCTTCGCAAATATGATTGAAGGAAAAAGGAACATAATCCTATTACATCTGTAAAGTTTACGAGTATTTGTACGACTCTCATTCACTACTTAAAGATGCTTGTCCCTTGACGATAAAATTTATGCGACGAAAATCTTAAAGGCCCATAGCACAGACTTTTGCATAAAGCTGTATGACGACCAATCGCAGTTGATTATTTTTCTCATAATTGATTGTGATTGGCCGATTTCTTACCTTAAAGTAAGATTATGAACTAAGTCTAATGCTGCATCACGTATAAGAGAATAAATCAGAATATGAAATGATAGATTGATTGATTGATTCTTTTATGCCTTATGCGTTGTGTAGTATTAGGCCTAGTTCACAACCTTTGCTTTAAGATAAGATAAATTGATCAATCACAATCGATTATGAGACAAATAATCGACTGTGATTGATCAATTTCTTTCGGCTTTACCGTTTACTCTTAAAGTAAGGTTGTGGCCTAAGTTCTATGCAAAAGTCTGTGCTGCGACCTTAAGTCTTATATTCGCTGGGTAAATCGCTGGATCGGCAGACAGTCGCTATTGATTCGAATTGGTTGTACCTACTTCGGTTCAGTCGAAACGATCGAGTTTCACGAAATGAACAAAAGAATTTGGCCGATTTCGCAAGGACGGAATTTGTTTTGATTATGGAGACGATCTTGGACGAAAGCACGCAGCTTCAGGATGATCAGGATGATCGTGGAATGAATTCTTCGTGTCTATTTCTCTATCGTTTAGGACGACGATTCAGTTTTGCGGAACGATAAGCCCAAAAGGAGGTTCTCCGGTCGCAGCATCCATCTTTCGTCTTAAGGATTAGCCGTAACGATAGACGATTGATATCGCCTCTGAATCTTTGGAGCAGGTTTTCGCATGCTCGCCAAGATCGGTCTTCTCTACGCGAACGACATTGAATCCTATTAAGCCAAGACTGGTTTTAATGCAGATGTAATATTTATATGGATGTTTAGGACGGAAAAAAATTATATCTGCCACGCGGATCAAGCGGATATTATTAACTCGATTAAAATACGACATTACATGAAATTGTGAATGCGACGCCTCCAACGATTTTAAACGAACTTATAATATGGAGCTGAAACGCAATAAACGATTGCACTTTAGATTTTACTTCGCGTCAAAAAATAAATATATTTTTAAAATTGATAAAAACAAAGGACTATTGATTTCAATAAATATATTTTTAATTACATTTTGAATATTTTTATATAAAGTTGCGAAAAATGTGTTATACATGTAAGAAAATTGAACAAGTTGGGAGGTTGAGCGTATTGGGAGGTCAAAATAAAAAGACCTAGATAAAATAAATATCACGTAATCTTATACTTTTCGGCAAACTGTCATGTAAAAGAAAAACAAAAGCGATTTGTATAGGGAACATATAATTAAGGCCAGTGTTGCACGAACCCGAAATTGTCGTACAACTGTTGGCTGTCGGTCTTTCTTTTATAGGGAACTCCTTTTTACTTTCTACAATTTAGTTCGCGTGCAGGCTACCATTTAAAAAAATATTTCTTCGTCTGCGGTCTGTTTAACGTCTGACTAATCTGTAGCAATCTATGATCCGTACGATACTGTTTAATTGATATAAATATTGTATGACAACATTACTGTCATACATTTTTCAGAGTGCGATTATTTTAATTTTTTATACAAAAATTAAAGTTATTATGCGATTAAAGTTATTATTTTATAATCAATAAGAATATTATTTTTGACCGTAAATGTGATTATTTTATATATATATATACTTTATTGAAATTCTTTTATTAAAACGCGCGGAAAGTAAAAAAATATATTGCAATAAGTGTTACAATAAGTGTTACTTAATTCTCGACATATAATAATTATTAGTAGAAAGATCTGCGATTATAATCATACCTTCGTTTTTTTTCCAAAATAGGAAAGGTGGATCCGACACCGCACACCTCCTCGTTCAACATGGGCTACCTCGTCTCGCCGTATCCGTATCCCAACGGAGCCGGAGGACCTATCCCCGTTTCTATGGTGAGTTTGGTTATAATCTTTTCTTACTGAGAAAAAAAATGGTTCATTTAAGTAAATTAATTATTTATTTGATTATATTACTTTAATTATCTCTGTTTCTTCCGTCTTCTTTGGAGAATGTATGTATTGAATATACTGCTTTTAATTTAAATACACACACACGTATATTCTTCATCGAAAGAAATAAAGACGAACTAAATTAATTTAGTCACATGAACAATTTTTTTTCTCAGTGTACATTTATTTTCATTTAAAATTTGGCATGCCTCGGACATTAATTGACCATCGCGCCGTTACTCTTGTTCTCGACAGCGATGCATCCGTAACCGCGTCTTTTGTCCCGACCTGGACCCTGATCTGACTCTGTCAGACTGTTTCATACCTTCCTAGCCAGATCGTGATCACGCTATTGATTTATGGTGTCCGCAAATTGGATTCACGATTTATACTTACAGCCTCGCTCGCACACGTGTATATTTTTTCTCTCTTTTTCTTTCTCACTCTTACGCGCGCGTGCAACTTTATAATTTGCTTTGAGAGTATCAGAGGCTCATGTCGTCTTCTCAAGTCATCGAAAATGTATAGAATAATTATGCGAGAAAAATCATAAAAATGAAGGATTAATCTTTCATACACGGGAAAAGAAAATAATTTTGTTGAAGTATCTATCTAAAAATTTAGATAGATATATAAGGTTCTGAAAATAATTTTGTTGGACCGTCGAAATCATTGTGCAAGAAATTTATGCATGATGCGAGCAATACTGCAAAAAGTTTTCACATTCTAGCAATCAGCTTGAATCAGTTTTTTATTTTGATGATCTAATAAAATTACTTTTAGATCTAGCTAAATTTTGAAATATTCCAACGAAGCCATTTCTTTTCATATAATGATGTTTTTATTATACTCATGTACTCTCTAAATCTGAATCAATGGATAGTCACTAATTATCCAGTGGCGCTGGATCAACTAAAAAAGAAAAAAAATATTTTAATATTAATAACTAAAATTGATAACTGATATATTTGCACGTTAATTACATTCTTCCAATACCACATCCCTTGAATTTGTGCACTAAAACAAAGCTAGTTAGATCACGTAATAAAGATTATCCAAGTTAAGGGTATCACATTTCATTCCCTGATATTATCAACACACTCGGCATACTTTACACTGATATCAGTGATTATCCGCTAATATAGATTCAGAGAGCACGAAAGAAATACAATATGCGGAAGGATTGAGCCGCGAAACGCGGTTATCGATTCATGCGAGCGTGCTTCTGCAGATTCGGCTAATTCGGCTGCGGCGAAGCATGGCGTCGCTAAATAGTGGACAAAATTGGGCCGATTCGATGTTAAAGAGAGCATGACGCGTGCGGCCGGCGTTGCGATCTCTCGCGGGCCGCGTTGCGCTTTGTGCGCGATTCCACGGCGCGTGAACCCATTAAGAGGGAAGAGCAGTCCCGCCGATTCTTTACGGCCGATAAACACCGCGACGCAAACCGCGCGCGCGACGTCGTTCAATTCTTCATGACGTTCGAAACGCGGCGGCGGATGCAACGGCGACTCTGACGATTGCACGGCGCGGGGGTGTGCGACGCGCAACGCGCGGCGATGATAAATTATTGGGAATTATCGCGGTAATGTGCGTCGGCGCGTTGACCACTCAATTTCGCCGTTGTTTCATTTACCATGGAATTTCGCGTTGTATCAATATATATCCGCTGGCGATTTATACCGGTCGTTAACGCGATAAAGCGCTATTAAAGTTATTGCGATTGCGCGTGGTCCACGCGTCTATCAAAGGTCAATAATTAGAGAAATGACAGAATATCGCAATCGGCACGTTTGCAGAGAATGAGAGTGAAGACAATTACACATTTTGTTGGAAAGAAAGCACGTTGGTATTATATGATTTTACGATTGCTAATATCGCAGTTTTAATAAAAGTGATATCAATATCAATTTTGTTAAGTCTAATTTTCAATCTTTGAATTATGTAGATTGAATTCTATACGGAAAGAACGGTTTTTGCTAAAGTATTTAAAATTTAGTTAGTTACAGATCTGAAAATAATTTTATTGGACTATCAAAATAATCATGTGAGGACACTAATTGTTAGAATGTCAAAACTTTTTGTAGCAAACTTTTTGTTCATTATGCTTGAGATTTCTACACCGTCACATCTTTAAGTGTTTAAAAAACGGAGACAAAAATAATAAAACATTAATATTTTTAAAATTAAACACATATTTGAGTGTACATCATCATTTTGATTGTCTGACAAAATTATTTTCAAATCTGCTAAATTTTTAGTAAAATTAATTAATCTTTTCGCGCCTGGCGCAAAATTATAACTTATATACACATCTACGAGCCTTGACATTTGAATTCATCAGAATTATATCTGTTTCTCGAGTCTTCATACCTGAATATGTATACACGAGGGTATTTTTTATTTTATTATGCAAATTCGGGGCGTATATGTGGCTGATTAATAAATCCGATCGAATCGCAACTGACAGTTCAGCAGCGAGAGAATCACGTGCGAAATCAGGTCGAGACGCGAGGTAAAAGGATGCATGACATGGTCCAGACTCTAGCGGGAGAGCCTATTAAGGTCTCTTCAACTCCTCGGAGTTGATGAACCACCGGCGATGGTCAGGGATACTACCGAGACACGCCGATGATCCCACCTCCTCCTCGTTCCTCTTTCTCCTCTTGCTCGCTGGATATATCCCGGTCTGGTTTTCTCTCCCTCCCTGTCCCTCTCGATCTTCCTTTCTCTTTCTCTCTAGTTATGCCGTGCCTGCGTCTTGGATTTACCTACCTGGGGCACTCATCCTCTACCATGTCATTATGTCGTTATTTCCGACAACGAGCGTGTCTCGGCGAACTCTCTCTCGTACGCTTACCTCCACTTCGACACGAGTATGGGGCGCGAAGCGAGTCTCGCTCGAAATCTCACGGCAAACAGCACTTCCGAATCGTTAGTTGCGCTAACTAGATCTAACATATTGCACGGGGCTTGCAATTATTTATCTATTTGCTCGTTTCGAAAGTCATGCTATTTATAATAGCTCACGCCAATTGTAGTACATTAATTAAAACATAATATTTTAAGGTATAAATAATTTATTTTAATATGAAAAACTGCTATTGCAATAATTACAAATGCGACTGATCTAATATACTAAGAAAAAAAATTATAGTAATAACGGTAAAAAAAAGAGAATTATTCAGAAGTAGCCGATTAATGGATAATTTTGTTAAAATAGCAGAAGGTAATGTTTTTTCTTTAGATAAGCAAAATTTGGTAAATCTTTTGATTTAACAATACAATTTTATTTCTTTACACTTAATTTATTTTATACTTAATATAAAGTTAGATTACAATTACAAAATCAATTTTCGTTTGGTAATTTCAACAAAATAATCTATTATGGCAGAATGATGAATATTTCGCAGAACTCTCAGAGATGGCGTGTCTTCTCGTATAAAGACAAATTTGATTCTACTTGTACAAAGCAGGGAAGGTTAGGTAGAGACCAGCTTCGTGCATTTCTCATTACATCATGGCCAATTATGGCGACATTTTTAATTAATATTGGCGTAATAACCAACGGTTTAATTAGTCACGTATTAATAAATAATTTTTAACGTCGTATGGCTCTATTTTATGTGTATAAATAATTTTTACGTCATTAACAAACCTTCACGGAAAAAAAAGATATAGTTCAGACAACTAAAAATATTTAGTTGTGAGTAATATAGATACATCCTAGTTATCTTTATGTAATAGGAATATGTATGGTTGATACGATATATTTACTTTGATGTGTCAACTACTATTAATATAGTTAGGCACGATCTAGCTGTGACAACAAATCTTGGTTGAGGAATCATTTACTATGGATAATTATATATCCATATAGTTGCGTCAATCGTGACATTATAAAGCATGATGTATAATAATAAAAATTAAATTATTAATAAGAATTAATTTCTTGTCACGCTATAAATTAAGTTGCAATTTTAAAAAGCAAAAGCGACTCACCACGCTTAAATATATATATATATATATGTGTGTGTGAAATGCCATCATTGCCATAAACTGACCTAATCATCCTATAGTTCAAGCAACCACATAAATAGTTGTTCATATTGCACTATTTAATCTAGTTGGCATCATCAGATTTCTATGTAGGCCAATTATACTATTTTTTCCGTGTTTAATTCCGTGTTATTCATATGAAACATTCCTCTCAGTGCATTAGAATAACATTTAGTCGCCCAGAGAAATAGTTTCTACGTTTACAATGTTATGCATGTCAAGACACGTGTAACGCTCGCCAACGAATATTGCCAATCTCGCTTGACCTCCTCGGTGAGAAAAGCGTAATAATTATTCCGAGTTCGTCCGATCGTTACTCGGAGGTGCCACCTCAGTAATGCGCGGCGATTAGAAGCCCGTTAACGATTCGTCGCGGCGGTTTAAACGCATTTCACCGGAATGTCAGGACACACACGAGCCTCTCTATCTCCACCACGTGCACGCGTTTCGTCGCAAAGTGTCGACCACGGAATGGAATCGATCGTTTCGTGGGACTGTTAAGTACTTCTAAAGACAATCATGTCCCACGTTTCTTGCGCGATTCTCATCGATTGCGACTCGGCGTGAAAACGATTTGCTAAACAATCCGCGTGCACCACCTCGTTGCCGCACTTTGTAGAATATAAAGAGTTTTAAGAGCCAGGATAATTTCTTTCGCGTTAAAGAATATATATGAAATGATCGTTTCTCGAAAGCCGAGACTTTCACGATCACGAGAGATCGCGCGAGAAATAGAAATTGGATAACTCATGCGCGATCAGTCGTCTCGTTCAGAGCCTCGATAAATCGGTTCGTCGCTAACGGGGCGGAATTCAATCGACCATCATTCGCGAGCTTTTCGTACAATGCAACACTGCCGAATGCTTTTCTATTTCTTATACACT